TAAAGGAGTTGAGATGATCCGGTTTGTAGGGGTAGAGGAAACAAGAGAAAGGTAAGAGGTGGAGAAGGAAAGAGGAAGGAAAGGGGATGATGGTTTAGTGGAGGAGAAGGAAGGGGAGAAAGGAGCAGGGAATGAGGGAGGGGCAAGCAAGGGGGAGAAAACAATAGCGGGGGCAGGGTCAGAATGTATAAAAGGAAAAGATACAGAACTTTTTCCTTGGAAGAAGACAGAGAAAGGGGACTGAAATTGGATTCAGGGGAGGACTCGGAGGTAAGTGAGGGTGATCCAATGATAGATGAGACACAAAAGGTGGAGAGCACTTGTGACATTGAAAAAGCAGTGAATAAGGAAGCGGAAGTTAAGCAGAATTCTGGGCCTATTTTTCTTAGGAAGGGAGGAGTTCGTGAAGGAAGCCTTCAGGTTTGTGGAGGAAAGAAATGGGGAGATCAAAATCCAAGAAGACACAGTGGTTGATTGTAATTCAAGTAATTTATAAATCAAGGGGTGGAAAAATCTGAAGGAGGTGATGATGTTAACATCAAAGAGAAGGAAGAGGATGTGGAGAGGGAGGGTATTACAGTTAGGGATCAGAATTATAATGGGAAGATGGAAGAAGTCGTTAGAACTTTATATACAGTTAGAAGATTCAAAACTCAGAAGAGCAAGAGAAGCCAACAGCAGATACCAGTTTCAAAGGTTTTTGCAAGGATTAAAGGAGGAATGTTTGGCCTTGGACCTAACAAGAAAGCAAGGAAATCCAAAAGTGCAATCAGAAGACAACAGGAAGATGTCAATAAAAAAAAATTAACAAGTAGATTTGCTGATCCGGCATTATTTGGGGCTTGTTATGGGTATTTGGTTGGGGTGGTTTTTGTTTTGCTTTGGGTATTATTTGGGTTTTGGTTTGTGCTTGTTTGTTTTTACATGTTGTTTCTTTCTGCATTGTATGGGGTTTGATTTTGTGGGTCTGGTTTTGATGGGATGGATGGTTTGGCATATCTGGGTGTGTTATCTTTTTCATTCAGGTGATTGCTTATCACCTTTTCTTGTATCCTATTTCTGTTTTAATTTTATTTTATTTATCTTCAAAGAAAATAGCATTCCAAGTCTGACTACATGGTATCAGAGCACCAGTAATCTGACTGGTTGGTCTTTGATGCCATTTGCTCCTTCTTCCATTGCAAGCTTTCTCTATTCATTGAGAGAGAGAAAAGAGACACAAAAGGACTGATTGCCCCTAGAGAAGGAGGCTTTTATGCCTCAAGTTGCTGTTGTTTGTGAGTTGGTTGTGAGTTTCTAAGCACTCTCTAGTCAGCAGTTTGAAGAGGGGCTGGTTCCTCATGTAGAAGTGGTTGCAGTGTTTTTCCATTAGTTGTGTCAAGTAGTTGTATTGTGGTGTGAGTGAACCACAGTCGTGTGATTGTAAAAGTGGCGGTTGATTCAGGTGAGTAGAAAACTAGTTATTTGATATTTTTCAGTGCTGAAAACTGGTAGTGCCTGCCCAACAATGAAAATTCGGTAAGGTGACTTCTTTTCTTTTGAGTAATTGATTTCTATCAGTAACCAAAGTAGGGTTATGATTATGGCTGCATCTACAAGTGGTTCTCTTTGGCTTTACACACAATGTCCCACTTAATCAAATGGTCTCTTTTTCCTTCTCGTGGTTCCCAAAGAATGTCTCCCATTACCTTCTCCACCTACCTAACCACCCCCTATGGCATCTTGAAAACTGAGAGGAGATAAAGAAGTAGTTTAGCCAAGGTGGACCAAATGAGAGTGATTCTTCCTCCTAGAGAAATGTAATTCCTCTTCCGTGTTGTCAGTTTCTTTGAGAATTTCTCTAGAATTGGGTCCTAAAATTTATTCTCTTTGGAATAGCTCCTAAAGGTAATCCTAAATATCATTAGCAAATTAGAGATGTGTCAATACTATTTCCTCTTTCCCCACTCTCCAACATGTAATTAATTGCAAACTATCAGCCCTGATGATCAACCTACTGAACATATCAACCACCAAAGTGAATAGGAAGGGAGAAAGTGGATCACCTTGCCTAAGGCGGGGGAAGTAGAGAGGGAGGTGCTGTATCAATGTGCTGCAGTGTTGGAGTGCCGCCAGTTAGGGGAGCTACCTTTCAACTATTTGGGTCTCCCAGTGAGGACCAAGATTTCCGAAGTAGGGGTATGGAGGCCAGTGCTAGAAAGTATGGAAAGAAAACTGGAGAAGTGGAAAGCAAAATACTTGTCTTTTGGGAGCAGAATAACTCTCATAAGGAGTGTCCTTTCAATCTTACCAACATATTATTTGTCACTCTTAAAGATTCCAAGGAAGGTGGCTGAAAAGATTGAAAAACTTCAAAGAGATTTCCTTTGGGAAGGAGTTGGGAGTCAAAAGAAGTTCCATTTGGTGAATTGGGTAAGGTTTGCAGACCAAAAGGAAAAGGGGGACTGGGGTTTAGAAGGGTGAGGTTGTTTAATAGGGCTCTATTGGGAAGTGGCTATGGAGGTTTGGGCTGGATAAAGAAAAGGATTCTTTATGGAGGAGGGTGGTAGGCGGGAAATATGGGGTAGTGAGGTTTGGATGGGAATCAAGGAAGTTTCAAATTCCTATGGAATGGGTGTGTGGAAGGGGATAATGAATTTTAATAGAGAGTTCAAAGCTTGGGTCAGTTTTAAGGTGGGGGAGGGATCAAGAGAGATTCTGGGAAGATGAATGGTGTGGGGTTGGGAAGCTGAGGGAGGTATGTCCAAGACTTTACAGGCTCTCTGAGCAGCAGGTGAGGGTAGATCAATATTTTGAGGTGAGGGGAGACTAATTGGTGTGGAGCCCAAAGTTTAAGAGGCCATTGAGAGATCAGGAAATTGAAGAATGTCTACTGCTGTTAGAAAATCTGCAACAGACTGAAATTTCTACTTCTGATAGAGATGGACTGTGGTGGAAAGAATGCAAAAATGGAATGTTTACTGTGAAATCCTTTTACACTTGACCAATAAGGGAACAGATGGTTGCTGATCAGGTGGAAGGAGTGTGGGGGAATCCTATCCCCCCTAGAGTGAAAGCTTTCGCATGGTTGGTGTCGTTAGACAACATCTTAACCTCAGACCACCTGAAGAATAGAGGCTTCTGCATGACAAGTTTCTATTATCTTTGCTGTTCGGATGAGGAAACAGTTTTCCACCTGTTCTACATGTGCAAGATGGCTCATATCATATGGAGTTTTTTCTACTTTCTATTTGTAATGAACTTACTTCAGCCTTTGACTACAGCAGAGTTCTCCTCTTGGCCAAGATTTAATGGGAGCAAGAAAGCCAAGATCGTGTGGAGCTGCATCCCTTTTTCTGTTGAGTCTTATGGAATGAGAGAAATAGAAGATTATTTGAGAACAAACAGAAGAACATTGGAGGTCTTTTAGCCTTGATTGTGAATTTGGTGTCAGACTGGATTCTGGTGCATCCAGATTTCCTTCAGACTAGCAGAACAGAATTGGGGGAGAATTTTTGGAATTTTCTTTAGTTACAAACTTGTAATCATGACCAGTTATTTATCTCTTGACTTATCTATTGTAGTAATCGGAATTTGTGCTAGGATGCGGCTGGGTGTTATCTTAACACCCCTCGTGTTGTATGAATCTTTTTTATTTTAATGAAATCTTTTATTCTGAGTCTGACTCTTCAAAAAATTAAAAAAAAGGACTCCTCTTCTTTGGAAAGAAGTCTTTGACTGCCCTATTCACTAAGGTTGAATAGTGACAGGTTTGTAAACGCCTTTTGATCCAGTTATACTACCAATTCCAAAGCCCAATCTTCTTTAGCGCCTCAATTAAGAACTCCCAATCTTCTTTAGCTAGATCCAGCTTACACTCCTTTCTTGTCAGTTCTTCTCATTGCCTCAATGCTTTCATTTGCTAGGAGAATCTGATCAATTATCTGCCTATTGAGAGAAAAGGCTCCCTAAAAATGTGTAATAATGGAAGGACCATCTTGTGTCTCAAAGAAAGGACCTTGGCTGGATTTTGTACAAGCCAGACACCAGGCCTATAGGTCTAAAATCATTAGGGTGAAAAGCCTCATCCTTTGATATTCCCCAACAATCCAAGTAGAACGCCAATGTATATCCATCAGGTCTTGGAGTCCATGACCAGCTGTACAAGCAGTAAGAACATGCATGCTCATATTGCAATGAAGTGCCGCTATATATTCCTTCCTGATTAACCCTCAATGTGGCAAGACCATCAACAATTACATTTTGATCCAAGTAGAATGCCATTGTGAATCCATCAGGTCTTGGAGTCCATGACCAGTTGTAGAAGTAGTAAGCACATGCATGCTCATATTTCTCATCCATAGGAATCCATCTCAAAATGTGTGAGCAAGAATGATAATCTTATTTCATTAAACATCTAACGCATTTAAAGAATCCCTTTTAATCAAAAGAGATGTGGGATGTCTAGCAGCTACAATTCTAATGCCAGATATAGCTTCATGACCTCAGCCCAGGTGGAGTTGCCTTTGCCAAGGAAGCCACCATAGGCACAATTCATGATTCCTTCTCTACCAGATATGATGCCCCCAATCCATAAAGGTGGGTTTCTAAGAGATCTTCCATTAATCTCAAACACATATACTAAAAGGCACTTCTTATTACACAGCTTCATACTCGGGATTTTTTGGAGAGGAATAGAGAATCTCATGAAAACTGGAATATTTCATCGTGAGACATACCTGTAAATTCTTCCTGGACTGATGCCCAAAACACAGCTAAGATAAACAGAAAAGACTATCAAAAATACAAACAAAACAAGATAAAGCTAATAAACAGGCTTCAACAAGGGGTGGGAAGAACTAGTTTCTTTTGAGCCGTATTGTAATGTGATGTTTTTTGGGTGGTGTAAGAGATTTTAACCCCCTTCTTGTTGTATCTTTTCCATATCCTTTTAATTAATAAAAGTTTCTGTTATTGATCAAAAAAAAAAAAAACAGGCTTCAACATGAAATAAATGATACCTCTGAGAATTTTGATGAGAGAACATCATAAACAATAGCTTTGACATCATAATTCTCTAAACAAACATTCAGATTCTGGTAGTCTATTCCCTTCACATCCACCCCGTGGTCAGTTATACTGGGAGAAACTTGTGATATAGGGTCTGCCACAACCATGACAAGGAGAAGAGTAAGGGGAATGGAGTCGATTAAAGATTGTTAAGTAGGAAATAAGGCAAACATGTCACTCAAATTAGACAAAGGACCGAAAATAGATGAAAAATAACACCACAAAAAGTCGAATCAGGTCATCTCTTGATACTAGATTGGGAGTAAGCATAAAATAAATGAGATGCAAAAGTTAAATTAATACTAAACAATAGTGGAAGTCTATTATTCATAATATATCATATCACAAGATGCAAAACCTGATTTAATTGATCAAGATTCCACTCATAGTTGTTGGGGCTGAGAAAACAACTTATACAATTAGGTATTTTATCAACTGATACTTTCTTCCTTAAAGTAATTTGATCTTAAAGAATCCATAATTTAATGTTCTCTTACATATTTCTTCCAGATGAGAGATGCAAGCACAAACCCTTGTGTTTGAAGGGCCTTTGGAAGCTATTCATCAAAAATAACAAAACAAGGACATTTTTTTCTTTAGTAAAAGAAACTTAGAAGAGTATAAACAATACAATCGCCCTTGGATAGGGCAGTGATTACTACCCTATCTCTATGATAGTATACATGTTACAAGCAAGCCTAATACAATTAATTTATAGTAATCCCTTGCTTAGCTAGAGTGTCATCCATTCCATTTGTTGATCTCGGCATCCATTGTATATTCATATCTCCTCATTAGCCATTTGATTTCTTTCATTTCATTCCATTTTATATCCCCACATTACTTCCTGTTTTCCAACCAGCCAATGACAACTTTAGAGTCACCCTCCACAATCAAATTGTTTATATTCATCTCCTCAGCCCAGTGCAGTCCTTGGAGTACCGCAAGGAGTTCACGTTGAGTCCCCTTCACCTAATTGTCCTGAGAACAGGGCAATGATATATTTTTTTTTTTTGATTAGTAGAACAGGGCAATGATATTTCCTTCCCTCTTCCTGAAAACTCCTCCCATACCTGATATACCTGGATTTTTCAAACTGCTCATCAAAGTTTTGACTTACAAACCCCTCCTCGTGTGGTATTGTTCATGGATTTTCAACTTCCTTAAGGAGGAGGCAGCCACCTCTCCCCATCTCCTCCACAAATCATATGTATAAGCAGAACACAGCTCCTAAGATTTTACCCAGTGCACCATTCTAGCCGTCATGCATTCAAATATGGCCTGCATACATTGCCTTTTCCTTGAAAATTCTTGCATTTCTCCCTTCCTAGACTGTCCACATAACTTCCACCCTTGTGCATCTCCACAAAATATTCCCTCTTTTCCTTGGCCACCTGAAAGTTTCTGCACTGAATAGCCTTGCCAAGTTTGAAGAACTCGTCCACTTGCAACTAAAGAGAGAGAAAAACCTTTCCCAAATACACACAACAAAAGGGCGGGAGATTAGTAAATGGTAACAAAAGAAGGGCCTTTGGAAGCTGACCCACTCAGATATACTCAACAGTGAACCCCCCCCCCCCACCCCTGGCTATTTACCAAAGCTCTGCTTTCATTCTTGTGTTGTGGTTTAATTTTTTGAAGGTCTTAGTGGAACAGAAGGTGTTCATAATATCATAGTACAAGAGCTTGGAAGTGCGATGGAGGTTGGGCATATAACTACTTTGTTTAACATTCCATTTCAATTTAACGTAACAACAATCTCTTTTTTAAAATTGTTTTTACATAACAACCAATAAACACTTCTTTTTATAATCATGTTCCAGAAAATCAGTCCAAACTAGCTTATTTACCACTGAGAACTTTATGCCCCATATTGGTAGCACATATACAACATTGATCATTTGAAATGATAACCCAATAATTAAGAAACCTACCTATGTGTATAAAGACCTCAACAACTTCAGTATGGGACTTCTGGATTTGACGACGAACATTTTCACCAATATCATGAGCAGCACGAACATTTAAAAAAGGATCAACCTGCAAGGGCATAGTAACCACTAATTCTCCTAGAACCAGCAATGGAAATGATGAATCAATCAACTGTGTAGTGAGCATTTGGTACCAGCAGTTCACATAAAGTTCATCTTGGCAGTTCTAACAGTAAAGTGTGGGATGGTCTACCTCTATGTGCACATCAAGATGCATAGATGAGCCAGCCTTCCTTCCCCTTAAGCGATGGCATCCCTACAAATTAAAACATGATAAAATAAGTTCTGCAAGGACCCCATTGCTATCAGTGGGCAAAAGATGGCAAAGTATGATCTGAAAACCAATGGCATAATCATAAGAGTTTGGGTGGTGGCCCAAAAAATTAATTCACACAAAGTATGAAACAAAACAAACAGATGGGAGAAATGATGGTCAAATCATTAACCGTATTACTCTAGATTGTAACCCTTACAGATATGATCATGTGAGGCAGCAGCAGTGTCATGATTAGACAAAGTCTTATCAGATATGAAGGCTGCAAAGGAAGCCTAAGAGATACTTACTAGTGAAGAATTCAAGCTAAGAGACATCTGGAGTACTTCCTGTAGCTGAACTGACAACAGAGCAAAGCCAGTATAAACTTCGCTAAAACTCTGATGGTACCCCAAAGCTCCAGTGAATCTGACCATTTTAGTCAACCCATACGAAAGGCCAAGATTGGAGAGATATTTGAGTTAATTTCAGTACCCAGCTTCTTTCTGGCTGTTTTATACTTTTGAGTTTTATTTCGTGCATTGCTAGCACCAACCATCTTTAATGTACAACATGCTAGATACAAGGTAGGGCCTACAAAAAAGAAATCCTAAAGCACATTGATTTTCCTGGGCCAACTGCATCTATCTGTTGTGTGCAGCTGAGCTGTTTGCTAGCACTCATCTTTCTTATTTATAGTCAACCGTTAATGTCTTCAGGGTTATTTTCAGTTTAGTTCAGGATATAGCAGTGGGTTTCTCTTATCTTTGGCATTTTCTTGGTGGTCTTGATGTGGGATCCTTATGTTCCTTTGTCTTACATCATTAGAGTTAATATTTTCTATCTTGTGATTGACAATATTTAGACTAGAAGTCTATTGGGATTCCCAACATATCCCCTAAAGTTATAACTTCTAGAACCCAGTTATTGATGAGTTTATGAATAAACTAGTAGCTTGGAAGAAAAACTTTATCTCTTTAGGAGGTAGAATTACATTAATTAGGTCAACTTTAACTAGCTTACCCATCTATTATATGTCAGTGTTCAATTCCAGCTCTTATGGCCACGAGATTGAAGAAAATTATGAGAGAATTCCTTTGGGAGCCTGGGGAGTCAAAGGAGGATAACTGATTAATTAGCAAATGGTGTGCATGAGGAAAGGAGGAAATGAGGTCTAGGGGGATTAGGTTCAGAAATTTATTGGGAAAGTGGCTATGGAGATTCCCTACTGAATATGACAAATAGTGGCACAAGATGTTGGTCAGGCCTCAAAAGATGAACAAAGATAGCTTGAGAAAATGGAATAAAACAATTCCATGTTACAGGCATCAATTTCCAAGGCGCAGGACATCAATGGGTTTTAATTCTTGACTATGTCAAGCCTCAAAAGATGGAATGGTCCATTTTGAATGATCCATTTCTTAATATATCCTGTTACAGACATAATTTCTTAATTATAATGGTCCATTATAAAGCTTCTTCCTTACTATCTCCATTTTAATTCCAGCCCAAGGACCAAAAATCCAAGCCCAACCCGTGTAAAATTTCAGGTTGGGCTGGTTCAGGCTCAGGTTGGGCCGCCCAAGTTGCATCCCTACCTCCTTCACAAAAAAGTAAAATCTCATCTGCAAATTGCAAGTGAGTAATCGGAACACTGCCACAACCAACCTTCCAGCCCCTCAACAACTCATGTTAGTTTGCCCTAGCAATAAGCCTTCCAAGGACCTTAGCAATCAGAGTGAAAGAAAGGGAGATAAGGGATCTCCTTGTCTAGTCCCTCTTAAGGCTAGGAAGAAATCCACCACAGTTCCATTCACTAACAAGGAGTAATGACAGGTCTTAACACATCCTCTATCCATTTACACCATCTCTCCCAAATCCAAAATTCTTCAAAACTTCCAACAAAAAGGACCAATCCAGTATATAATAAGCTTTCTCCAAATTCAATTTACAAACAAAGCCTTTCTTTCCAACTTTTTTGAAATCCTCCACACATTCATTAGCAATTAGGATTTGGTCAATGATTTGCCTACCCCTTACAAAAACACCCTGCTTTGGAGAGATAGTAAAGGGAGAGCAACCCCAGTGTGCTTTGGAAGGCTCTAATGCGAATTCTCAGTGAAATTTAGTTGAAAGTTTAGAAGAAATATCAAAGGAGGATGATCTGGAAAGGATTTCTTCTTCAAACTGTCTTTGAAGTGTCTCTGACTGTCAAGAGATTTGACTAAGAGATGGAAAAGCAAGAAGTTGGTAACGACATTTCAAGCAAGAGGGAGGTTAGTGCTGAAATTACTCATAATCAGAGGGTTTCTTCACAGTGTTTTGCATCCTATGCATCACCCAACTCAAACTAGATGCCTTGATAAAGTGCAACCAAAGACTTTGAGCCACCTGACAGTGACTAAATAAGTGACCTACACATTCCTGCCCCGATCCACATAGCCCACATGAGAGGTCTTGATAAGAGATTCCATTAGTATCCATGATAATTCTTTATTAGTTTAGTACCTATAATAGTTACCAACACATGATAAGTTAGTCAAATTAATGAACTAGAAAATATCGGCCAAGTACCTAATTTACCTTTTAAGGATAAAATAATATATGATGATTAAGGAACCCTTAAGATAAAATGTAAAACAAAGAAGAGCCAAAGCAGATAAAAAGAATATAGTAGAAAACAGTGGGGATGAAATGATGAATACAGAAATAAATTCCATCTAGAGAAAAAAAAATGTAAAACTTACTTTGACCCCTTCAACTTGGACTATAGTTTGTTTAATAGGATCTAAAACTTGCATTGGAACTGCAGAATCCACCAGTTCCATAACACTATATATCAGAAAAACAAACATGTCAAAGACAGGTAGATATAAGTTGTACTAAAAACAAACATATATGAAAGAAGTGTAGTGGAACAAATTAACAAGAAAATGAACATGACAAAGTTCATAGCATCCTGCTATCTACAGAGGAGCCACTCATAACGATTTACCTTTTACTCTAAGGATTATCAGCATAGTTTGCATATTACAGCTAGTGAATTATCCTCCACTAAAAGAATGCTTTCCATCTAACAATAAGAAAATTAAAAAAAAATACAAAAAAAAAAATGAAATTGAAGATTGCAAGATATAGCAACAGCTGTGTGTGCCTCTTCTTGTAAACACCATTCTGTTCTGTTCAGTACCAAGAAAGAGTATATGCACCAACATCAAGGCTTTGAAATTATTATTATTAATTTTTTTTTATGAACAAGGCTTTGAAATTATTAAAGGACTTGCTTTTTTAAATAATTATATTATTAGTTAACAACCACTCTGTACTAAGGAGCAATTATACATACATATTTTGTTTGGGACCACCATCCACGTGGTAATTAGATTGGATTCTTTATCTGACTTAGAAGACCAGAAGAAAAGAATGGGGTTCACACCAATACAACATATTGAAAGCCTCTCTGTTAGGTTTTCTATTTGAATTAGGAAGCTAAACCAGATTTCATTTGTTACAAAAAGATATGAGGTAAATTGTTTATTTACCCCTTTTCTAAGTGAGAGTCTAGCCATAGGGGTGAAACTTAGGCATGTTGGGTCGGGTCAGGTTGAAGGTCAACCTAGGCCCAACGCTAAAGCTGTAAACCTCGGGCTCGAGCCTGGCCCAACCCGAGGTCAAGCCCAAGTTTATCAACCCAAGCTTACCCAAAACAACTGGGGTTATGCTCGGGTTTAGGTCAGGTGTTATACAGTGTATGCAGTCAACTCCTATCAAATTGATGTATACTAACATTTATTAGTGAATAAAATCAGAGAATTGTTGTTTCATGTGTGCTATGCTATGTTTCTGTGTATTACCTCTTAAACTAGATATTTATGAGACTTATGTTAGTTTAGAATATTCTCAACCATTGAATAAACGTGGGGAGTTATCTTGCCAAGGTTGACACTATTTTACTATCGAATTAGTGGAGCGTTCTGTCTCAACTACTAGGATTAGACCCAAGGTACAATTAGTAGGTGTTTGCTAAAATACTAAACATGGACCATTTCCAATTATGCCCTGGACCTTGGAGATAGATGGGCAAAACTAGAAAGTTGCACTTAACATCAGACTTGATAATGATGCTACACTAAGTGTTGGGTTGGGCTGCTCTTGATGTACCAACTAGTGAGGTCCTCTAAGGGTCAAATACCTATTGGAACAATTTGGAATATCACTTGAGTGGGCAATTGTGATAGGATCAGTCACTTTGTCGGACAAAGAGAATATCCTGATTAACACCCTCTCTGATGGAAACGTAAAACTTAAACTACCAGCAGTGGATTTCAACATGTTTAAAAATTAGAAGCCAATTTGCAAAATTAATTTATACTTATAAATAGTTTATTTTATGAAAGAGTTTGCAAAAAGGCTTTAATCCTAGGATTTATTTGAGCAAAGAGTGTGACACTACATTTCACAGTCAAGGAAGAGGTCCTTCCCTGTGACTGTTAGCAATGTATACATATATGGGCTAAGAGGTTAAAAGCAAAAGTCTTTTGGGATGAAACCTAATGGGCTTATTTCACACATTAAACCATTGGTTTAGGGTTCATAGGGTGGCTGAAAACTAGAGCCCACCTATGTTTAAGTGTTGCACCAACCTAAGCCCAATGAGATTGGGTAAGAGGTTCACTAAGCACACCTAGTGAATTCGGCCCATGTGGGTCCTACGCCATACAATATTCAGGTCTAATGAGATGGTTAAATTTGTGAATCAAATTACTTGAGTATAATGGTCCAATCCAATTAAAGACTAGTTTGACTAGTCACATGAATAGTTTGACTAGACAATTGGATAATTGCATAACATGGGTCAAAATTAGAATGGGATTGGATCTTTCTTATTTCTAAGATGATTTGGATGGTTTCCAAGTTAGAAAACTTCTAATCAAGTAAGAATCTGATTTGGAAACTCCTAGTAGGACTACACTTTTCCAACTCTATATATGTTAAAGTAAGAGAGTCTTGCTAGAGATTATCATCTATTCTCCTACCTCCAAAACCTAGTTCAACCAAGGCTGAAATGGGAGCTCTCTCTCTCTCTCTCTCTCAGATCGAGTTCTTGCTTTGGACTGCGCCATCTTCGGTTTTTGGACTCAATTTGAACTTGAGTTTTGGGAGTGAACCACCACTTCGGGAGCTGCAATTGTGGTATCTGCATCAGGTACAATTCCAACTTTGATATGGACATCAAAATTGATTGTCTAATCCTAGATCGATCCTAGGATTAAATAATTTCTCCATGGGAACTTCGAATTCTCCATTCTTGGACTGATTAAAGATTCAATTTTTGCACCTGTTAACCCAGCAAAGTTCGACCTTTTGGGATTAAATCAGTCCTTACAATATCAGGTTGGGTCGGGCTTGGGTGGGTTGGTCAGGTTTGAAAGATCAAAGAATTTATGTATATATTTTTATATTTCCTTTATGGCCCAATTTAAAAAGTAGAGTTCATTGAAAATATATACAAAATCCATTTAGAAATGTACAAATACATATGTTATACATGTACACGTGCATATATAATTAGAAAAAAAAAATATTTTTTATATAAATATAAAACATATATGTATGTATTTGTTGGTGGACTCAAGTTGGGTCAGGCATGAGTTGGGTTGGGTAGGGCTCAGGTTATACTCAGGCTACCCAAGCACTCAACCCAAGTTTAGGTAATGCCTGATTTTTCCGACCCAGGCCCAACCCATACAAAAACTTAGGTTGGATCAGGTCGGGCTCAAGTTGGGACTAGACCTGTTCGAGGGTCGGGTAGCGGGCCGGGATCTAAGTCGGGCTTGGACAAGATATCAAGCCTGCGGGCTTAGGCTCGGGCCTAAAACATCGAGCTTTATCTTTATTTGGGCCAGGCTCGGGCTTTCTCAAAAAATCTCGAGCCCAACTTGATAATGTATTTATACAATAGAAATATATTTTATATAATAAAAAATATATAATATATTTTTTCTTTATTATTCTTATCTTTTTCAAGTAATAGTGAAAAAAGGCTTTATCTCTCCCGGTGTTGGAGAGATTTGAAAAAAGGCTTTCTTTCCTTGGGGGGGGGGAGAGTCACTTTGATTAGGTCTACCCTAGCTAACCTACCTGTTTACTTCCTACCAGTGTTTAAGATCCCCACAAAGGTTGCTAACATTTTGGAAAAATTAATGAGGGATTTCTTGTGGTAACTAGATGTAAAAAGCTAGGAGGTCTTGGGATTGGGAATATTAGGAAAAGGAACATGGCATTGTTGGGGAAATGGTTATGAAGGGTATCCATTGGAAAGAGATAAATTGTGGCTAGCATACATGGGATGGAAGACAACAGTTGGGAACTGGGAATTTTGGCAAGGGCTACAGTTGCCTCTCCTTGGAAAGCCATTCATGATTTGCTTCCAGTCTTCTCCCCTTAGATCAGGTATGGTCTTAACTCCGGTAATAGAATAAAATTTTGGGAACAACATTGGATTGGGGACTCACCTTTGATGCACCAATTTCCCTCCTTGTATGCTCTATCAGATTTGAAAAATGAACCCATATCATCCTTCTTAAGCCCTTCAGACTCTCCTTCTGGTTTTGGGCAGAACCTAGGTCTGAGAAGGGCAATTAGGGATACAGATTGGGATACATCATGTCTCTGTTAGCCATCCTCGAAAATGTTTTCTTGGACCCTAATAAGGAGGACACCAGATTTTGGACCCCTTCCTCCTTAGGTATTTTCGCTTGTGCTTCATTTTTTGAGACATTAACTCATCCTTCTTATCCTATTGGGTTGTCATTCCTAGTTAAAGAAATTTGGAGCAAGCCCATTCCTCCTCAGGTTGGTAGTTTTTGTTGGGAAACTTTCTTGGAAAGAATTAACACAATTAACCTACTTCAGAAAAAGAAACCCAATTCTTGTTTACTTCCTAATAGGTGTACTCTTTGTAAAGCTGATGGGGAAACTGGTTACCACCTTATGGATATACTTGTTCGGTGGAAAAACAGTATGGGAGTGGGTTTTTTCCCTCTTTGGGTGTATCTGGACTCCCCCTAGGAGTGTCCAAAGCTTGTTCTCTGCTTCATTTCTCAGATGGCTGAAGAAAAGAGTGAAGATTATGTGGAGAAGCATTATGGCAGCAGTGTGTTGGTGTCCCTATGGGAAGAAAGAAACTCGCAAATATTTTCAAACAAGGAAAGAACCCTGGAAGAATTGTTAGATCTAATACTTGTAAGGGTAGCCCACTAGCTGAAAACCATGGAGCTGTTCTCCGGTTATTCTGTGGCTGATTTGGTAAGAAATTGGAAAGAGCTTCCTCTGCCCTATGTAAGAGGACTCGTAGCCCTTCTTGGTCCCCTCCTCCCTCCGGGTTTATAAAACTGAATTTTGATGGTAGTTGTTTAAGGAATCCTCGGCCTTCTGGGATTGGGGGAGTGTTCAGGAATGACAATGGTTATCACTGCCATATTCTCAGGCCCAATTGGAGAAGGAGACTCTTAGGGCTGAGATTCTTGCAGCCCTGAAAGGTATCCAAAGAGCAAGAGATTTGAACATCAGATGTTTGGTCCTTGAAGGTGAGTCGGAGGTGGTGATTAGGTGGCTAAAGGAAGAAGACAGCGGTTTGTGGTGTTATAACAATGGGAAGAAAAAATTCAACTGGCTTAATAGGGATATTGTGTTGCATTACAGCTGGGTGAAGAGGACTGCTAACTCAGTTGCTGATGGGTTAGCCAAGAAAGGGGTGAATAGGGAATCTATATTTTGGGCTAACTTTTGACTTTCTTCCAATGTATTTTGTTGATGGGGAGTTAAGACATTTTACCTCCCCCCTTTGTACCTAAAGTTCCACATAGTTTCATATCATCAATAAAGTTTCTTGCTACTGATCAAAAATATATATATATAGTGAGATCTTTTTTCCAATTTTCTGGCCGGGCTTGGGCTTGGGCCTGAGCTTCGGGCTTTATTTAAGGGCTGGGCTGGGCACGGGCCCAAGACCTAGGCCCACTGGTTGGGTCGGGCTTGGGCTTGGGCTCGGGCTCGGGCCTGGGTATATTCTATTAATAAAGAGACAAAGCCCGACCCAAACCGGGCCATTACTTAAGTTGCACCCCTATCTATCTACATGTTTAGGGGCCATTACTTGGTGTAATGGTAAAATCTCGGGCTAGAAAGCGTGAGAATTCTAGTTCTTATCTGAGAGTGCCACTTTGTGCAAAAAAAAAAAATGCCAAAGGTTAGGACCAAATCCAGTCTACTACCCTCCCAAGACCCCAAGTGGTTGGGACCAACATTGAGTGATGGCCTTTAATCTACCCACATGTTTGATGGAGAAGCCTTCATGTCTAAGAAATTTGCTTTAACACAAAATGCATGTGTGCCACATACAAGATGCACGCGCATGCATACATATGTGTGTATTTACTTAAGTCACACCCATATCCACAAGTTTAGGCGCTATTACTTGGTGTATGGTAAAATCTCAGGCTGGCAAGCGTGAGAATGCAGGTTCTAGTCTGAGGGCAGCAACATAACATACATGCATGCATACACACACGTACATGTGTGTATGCATGCATACACACGTACATGTGTGTATGCATGCATACATGCATATGTGTGTGTAGTTTGTAGTGTGCCTGTGACCTATGCGCGTTTACTTAAGAATTTAAAAAAAATTATTATATAATATTCTCTTGATATTTAGTCGTAATTATTATTATATTATGAAATAAGGAGCCCTATGACATCCCAAATCTATATATATATATATATATATAGTGTGTGTGTGTGTGTGTGTGTGTGTTTACTTAAGGATTTAAAAAATTATTATATAATACACTCTCCTGATATTTTTTTTAATCAGCAACACAAAAAAAAAAAAAAAAGATTTCATTAATTAGAAGAAAACAGGATTACAACAAGAAGTTGTGAAAAAAACAGCTTTTAGAAGCTTGTCCCAATTCAATATTACATTTGAGCCCAAAATATGTGCTCTATGCACCCCTTGCTTAGCTAAGCTATCTGCCAAACTGTTGGCAGTTCCCCTCACCCATCTCACTCGGATTGACATGTTCTGTGACAGCCATTTGAATCTTCTGAAATCATTCCTCAAATGCCATAAATATTATTATATTATGTTTCTTTAATATAAATCTTGTGATTTAAATATGGATGTTCCTTTTATGATATTATATTGTTTATCCTTCAATAAGAGTTTAAAACATCAAAATACCAACTATATAATTAAAAATATTTTCTAAAGGAAAATAAGAAGAGTCATCTACAATGATAAACTCAAAAGAAGAATGGATTTTAATAATAAGGATTCCACTAAAACAAATTATTTACATAATACTTATCTACTCATAAATTGAACACTTAAATTTAAAGTAATGTTAGGCAAGGCCCACACCATGGGCTTTGTTAAATAAATTGACAATGAAGAAGCCCTATGACATACCCTAGCTTTTTTTTATTTTTAGAAAGAAAATACTAATTTATTTCAAGAGGAGCTCCCAGTTGATAATTCATAACCTTCTTCTCAAAATTTAAAAATAATTAGGCCTAGACATCAGACACAAATAACCATGTTTTCCCCCATCAACTGATGCAGAGATAAGCACACATAGAGGTAACCCCAAAGAAATGAACCCAAATATTGACCTAATGATCCATCTAGTTGAACCATCGAACCTTTTGACCTTGGTCAATGGGTCATAGGTTAGACATTAAGTCCCTTTTTTTTTGTATTTTTTTTGTGTTAAGCCACTCCATCATTAACAACAAAATATTCATTTACTATACTTATTTTTGTTTAGTATGATGAATATATAATACAATAGACATGGTTAATTTTTATGTAAATTTATCATTTATAACTACATAAAGTTTATAATTAATAAAATGTACAAGTTAAAAACTAATTCAATTCTACAATTTTGTCTCTATTTTAAACATAATAAATCCAATATATCAGTTTTTGCATAAGATTCAGATATGGCTCGATCAGATCCAATTCTGACCTGTTACAGCCTTAACGACATGCCCATATTTTGTGTTGTTTTTTGCACGTTTATCTGTTTTATATTTTTATTATTATTATATGATTTATAATGTCATGGGCCCAGATGGTTTAGCTGTTGATCCACCACGGGCAAAGACAGTTGAATTGCTAGCATGGGCCCAATCCTTTTTTATATGCTGTACAGATTAATGATATGTTAATTATTTCTTTGAATTAATTGTTTTTATCAGTTCTTTGAATTAATTGTTTTACTGTATGTAATATTAGAATTTGAAAAATATGGGCTACTTCAATAGTTTATACATTTTTATAGACATCCAAAAATCCTTTCATAGGTTATTAGATTAATATAAAAATAAATTTTGAGATAATTAATTATAATATAGAACATTTTAATATTGATTTATTTATTTTTTTATACAAAAAATAGTAATATGATTGATGAGTACATTAAATTAATACTAAATTAAATGAAGAGATAATTAAAAGACGTTTTAATAAATGACAATTGAATTATTAATGCCTTCTGGTTACTTTTATCTTTTAAAATTCAAAAAATGCAGAAAATTAAGAGGGGTCTAGAAGTGTGGATGGGGCTGTTGACAGTCTATCACATTTTCCAAACTTAAAAACATAAAAAAGAAAGGAAAACAATGTACCTCTGATAACCTGTTTCAACTCCAGCCTTTAGAATCATGCCTGAAAGAACAAGTCCTGCAAGCGGATCTAAAAATTTTACTCCAAGAACAGAACCTCCTGCAGTCAAAAGATCCAATTTTCTATTAGTATTTTCAAGGCCTAAAACGCAATAGATGGCTTTCCATTAAAATATTCTATCAGGAAGCAATCAAATTTATAAGATCCTCTAAATTTTTTGAGCATATACCTCAATAGAAGCTAGCAATACAGTTAAGTTAATAGCAACATCTTATCAAAGGAAATAGTGTGTTACACATTTCATCTACCACTACCGGAAAAACAGTTCTATCATACATACTGTTTGAAGAGTGCATATTATTAAAATTCAACCAAGAAGAAAATATTAGTGCAGCCATTTCTTATTATTACTGATAAAAAATGAAAATATCATTGCAATCAGATTCGTCCATATATCCTCATTTATGATATGTATACATGAATGAAAATAAGTGAATTTCCAACAGTGGGAATGAGAACTATGGGAAGCTACTCAAATTTACCATTCTCCTGTATTTCTGCACCAATTAATAATGTTGGACAACATCACACTTTATCAACTCTTCAAGTGATTTAGTCGAACAAAAGAGACAGTATTTTAGTCCTAAGAGGCAAACTAACTGATATTCTAAATCATAGGTCAATGACTTGGAACTCAATTGGAAACATAAGAAATGCCTGAGGTCCACCTCTCTCTACTTATGATTTAAATTTGAGATGTTTAAACGTGCTCAATTAATTTGACTTTAATTTGGTTTCACCTTCACTAGAAAGTTAGATTATCCAATTACTTATACAACAACCCAAAAATTACATAATTCAAGCATGAACTGAGCAAGTTGCAGTTAATTTGTGGACAGATTATAGCATGTTAAGGATTCTTTATTTTTGTAGGTTTTTATTATTTTATCAACTTGAGCCATTTGCCTTTTTCAAATGGAATTATTTGATAGATACTGGTTCTCTGATTTATTTCTTACAAATTCATGTAAAAGATGTAATAGGTAAAAATACAAGAGATTCTCAACAGGCTTAGGAAAGCATTAAGAAGCAGTTGTGGAACTTCCTGAACTGGTACTAATTGGTTGACATCTACAAAAGTGTTTTGCTTTAACAATTAAAAGCTAAAATGGGGATTCTACTTCATAGATGCAGTATCATAAGCTAAAGATTCTGATATCGATAACTTCTAACTTGATAATCTAATAACATAAGCTATAACTTCTTCAAAATAATAATAGCCTCAATGTGTCCCCTAGTATTTGAAAGCTAAGTGTCAGTTACCAATGGTGAACCATGGAAGCTTCCTAAAAATGCACAACTTTCCTTTTCACTCAATTAAAGGTAGAGTGAGCTTCAGATGTAACTAAACAACCTCATTAACTAAACTAAAGTGAAGATTCTTACCAACACCAATAAGAGCAACTAATGATGAAAAAGCATCTACACGATGATGCCATGCATTTGCTTTCATTAGTCCACTTCCTTCCTTTTCTCCAGCTCTTTTTGTAATCCAGTAAAGTCTATAGGGGGTAGGAGGACAATGTAGCAAGATGAGACTAAATTAAATAACATTTGAAAAAACAGTTCAAGGGAAAAAAATCCAATTTTTCATGAATATCTGAAACTACACTCATTCATAAGGCATTAGGCTTGTTCATACCTTGAATATGAACTAAATGTTAAGAATTATTGCTGGTATGGAACATAACTTAGTAATTATAAATTCCACAGTAAAAATACCCCCAAATATGTCTTCTCTCGTACTAATGTATAAAAAAAATTAGATTTTATATAATAAAAACTCAACTTCATCTACATGAAACTAATAATAAATCTATGGTCAATGAATAATCACAGGCTTGCAGCTGTTTATCCATCTCAGTAAAGAGCAAGCATCAAATTCAGTTAAATTGGCAAACAGTTATTTGAGACAGAAAGATGATAACCTGGCCTTGCATTTCTACGCACATAGTTTACATTTTGAATAAGCAGTCCAAAACAAGTTCATACCCTTCTTTAACAGAGACAGATATAATAGTCATGTTTAGAGCCAAGATAGGATGATCCATGTCGATTCCATGGTGATGTCCACCATGTCCATGACCATGACCTGATGAATGACTGACTACTTCTGGAGTCAACAACAATCCCTGCAGATGATGAAAGGAGGAGTTCTAAAAAAAAGAAAAAGCAAAGGTGGACAAATTTTGGAAATTTCCCTTTTCTTTTTGGAAGGTGGGAGTGAAGTTTAATTATATTGATATTCAGAAATAGACAATCTTGGTTCTAAGGCCCATATAATACTTGCCACATTTTGGGTATTAAGATGAAGCCCATACAATACCTTACTTTTTCAGGAAAAAAAAAGGCCCACCATTATGTGGGTCCCACCTAGAGAGGGGGTCTGCACCAAAAACCAGCATGGTTAGATTACTTTCAACCATCCTATCTATCCCTGTAATACATACTTTTGGAGTCATTTTTAGCTGATTTTGGTCCAGTTAACATCTATGGCAGGATCCATTAAGTGGTGGGTCCTGATCATCTAAGCATGGGACACAAGGCAAGTTATGGAGTTCCAGACCATGTAAATGGTATTGCATCCTAGATTAAGACATTACCATTGAAAAGAAATGGTAATTGATCAAAATCCAGCACATTTTAGATGTATTAATTTGCCAATATTAATGGTAATTGATGAAACTTAAATTCCTGATAATTTCTTAAAGATGTGAGGAATGGGAACCAGAATGAATAAAAAAAGGTGTTCAGTTAACTATTATTGTCTAATGGTTGCTTTGAAAAAAAATAAAGGAAGAAAAAAAATTACCTGCAAAATATCTAAAGCATGCCATGCAATACCTCCTGCTGTTGCCAAAAGCATACAAGAAATTCCAAGAGCTCCAAGAGTCTCAAATTTACCGTGCCCTGTGAAAAGAGAAGAGAGAACACCAATTAAAATCTATTATTCTGCTTTTGGCCTATAGTTTTCATGTCAATGCATGCTCAAATGCACTGATTTGGATGTTATCTAAAGATGATTATGTCACCTATTCAATGAACCTAAGATCCCATGCTATATGATTTGAAAGAGTTAACAGAAAAATATCGAAAGCATATGTGACAAGAATTACTACTTTTGGATTATTTGGATTTTAGAGCTTTATTATTTCTATGATAGTAGGAACTGGTTTCAGAAATGATGTTTTTAGAAACTTGTATGTGATTTATAATGAGTCAGTGGTTGAGGCCCAACCTTTGGCCATTCTAGGGGATACATTAGTTTGAGCCTAATATTTTTGAAGGAACTAGCAAGTAGGGAGGTCAGCAAATGTGTCCTTCCTATAAAAGTTGAGAAGAGCTCCCTTGCTGGCCCATTGGAGGGACAAGATCATTTGGAAGGAAGATCCAAAAGGCAAATTCTTGGTGTTACCAAGCTCGATGCCCCCTTCTTTTATTCAAGGTAACCTTGCAATCTGAGACTCCTTATGGTGTTACCAAGCCCAACCCCCCCCCCCCTCTTTTTTTTTTATTTTTGATCAGCAAAGTGAGAATTCTATTCAATTAAAATAATGAAAATAGAGTTACAATAGAGTTACATCAGCAAGAGTGCAGACCGTTCAACAGAAAATGTTACATTAAAGCCCAAAAAAGCCGTTGCCTTTGAACACCCTGTTTAGCTAGAGAGTCAGCCATTCCATTTGCACTTCTCCTGACCCATGTGAATGAGGCATTAAGTTCCCTTGCTATGCTTACTATCTCCCTTACTGGAAGCCTGTAGTTCCAAGGAACATTACTGCTTGAATTGGTCCAAGATATCACTGTTTTTTAGTCCCCTTCTATCTCCAAGTTCTTAAGATCAGCTTGCTTGGCAATCTTTAGCCCTTGCAGCAGGGCTAACAGTTCAGCTTTTAAGGAGTCTCCTTCCCCTAAAGGTCCTGAGTACAAAACCAATACTTTTCTTGAGGAATCTCCGATCACACCACCAATGCCTGCCATATGGCCCATACCCGGGTTTCCTATAGAGCTCCCATCAAAGTTCAGCTTTAACTTGTTGGGGCCTGGGGGCTTCCATTCCATCACTTTTCTTTCGTTCTTCTCAGTAGTGTGTGCTACTTCATTCCAGGCTCTTACAATATCAGTAATTGAGATATTTTGAAAGAGCTGGAGTGATTTTACCCAATGAGCAACTTTTATCTTTATGGCCTCCACAATAGTCTCTTTTGGCCTATGCTTCCCATTGGAGATTCTTGCATTCTTTTCCTCCCATATTGTCCACACCATCACTGCCCTTGCCGACTTCCACATGCCTTAGAAAGTTTGGATCGAAGAGGCTTACTACGTCTTGGGGAGCACTCCACCTGCAACCAAAGAGAGAGCATAGAGATTCCCAAACAAAAAGGATAAAGGGGCAATGGATCAATAAAAGGGGTAAGGATTCACCATTAACAGAGCAAAGGATGCACATCCCCCCCCCCTCTTTTATTCATAAGGTAAGCTTGCAGCATTGGGTTTAGAAGAGGCACCGATTCAACAGAGAAAATTGATGGTGGTTAAGTGGTTAAACCCATAAGTGGTGGCTTCAAATTGAATACAGATGGAGCGACTTGTGGAGAGTCAGGTTTGGAAAGTGGTGGAGGTGTAATTAGAGACCAGAATGTAAATCCTTCATTGGCTTTCGCTAGCTTTTATGGGGAAGTCTCAAACACAAAGGTGGAGACCAGGGTCCTCCTTGATGACCTACGACTATGTGATGAACTCGGTTTATAAGACATTTGGGTTGAGATGGATTTGGAGGTTCTTATAAAAATGGTGAATGGTGCAAATGTCTGTCCCTTGGTGTCTCTGGCATTTTTTGGATGAAATAAGCGAGCTGAAGGGAAAGGGTGGCTAGAGCAATATGCCATGCTTACAGGGAATTAACCAAGTGGCTGATGCCTTGGATAATTATTCATCTGATACAGAGAATAGCTGGACTTTCCGACCTAGTGAGGATCTTCCTTCAACAGTGAAAATGTATTTTAAGGGAAATCCAAGTGGGTTTGGTTTCATCTTCTTGGTTTTGTAAGACTATTCGGGTTATTGTATTGCAATTTTATGAATGGATGATCTTTTGTGTATGTTCTCAGAGGGGTAAGACTTCTACATCCACATCCCCCCCAATAGGTTCTCTTTGATTGGACTCTAATAAAACCTATGGTGGATGTCCTTCCACCAGGAGTAAAGTTTGGGGATTATTAAAAAAAAAATCTTGGTCTAGATTTTCAAGCCCCAAGGCAAGGCTAGGCAACAGGAGAGTGCCTTCTCACTTGGGTGAATGGGCGCCTGCCTTGTGCGGGATAAATCAAAGAACAGAGGAAAAAACAAAGGCATAAAGACCCTGCTGTGTTGAATTTGAAAAAAAAGATACAAGAGTGAGAATGTCTGTTTTTGTGTGTTAATTGCAGGCTTTTATGACAAATACCAGATGAATACATTTTTCCATTTCCGTTGTGGTTTTCCCCAAACCCCTTTTATGGATCTCTAAATTGAAAATTGATTTATAATAATGTCATTTTACAATCTTTTTTTCAAAAGGTAAGTATGAATCTTTTGTATTACAATCTTTTTTTTTTCAAAATAAACCCATTGTCCCAAATGATTTGACTCCAGTGACTACTGAGATCTTTTGGCTTAAAGCCAACAATATCTTGCCAAAGACTAGCCCATCTGATCATGTGCCTTTCTACCTGTATTATCACAGATTCTACATTGGATTTTTTCCAGTCAATAATTAACTTATTCCTTTATACCCAGTGCCAAAGCCTTGCTTGTGCCGATGTTCTTCTTTGTCTTATATCTACCTACCAACTTCTTATTCTCCTCATTAAGTCCTCTCTACTGCTGTTTGAGTTTCTTTCTTGGTTAACATAGATGAAGTCCACACTTGAAATTTCTTAAATTACAGCTTGAAAAGAAACCCCTAACCTGAGTTTTCTTGTTACTAAGCACAGTCCTTTCCTTGCAATACTTTCCCCTTCTACCTTGCTTTCCACCCATAGATCACCCTGTGTTGGTCCAAGATCATGATAGTAGTTTGTTGCATTTACCTCAGATCTGAACCACGTTCTCTTTTCATTCCTTAACTGATAGTATGTTCTCTATATTCCTTATAACCAGTAACCTTTCTCAGACACTAGTTACCTTATTCTGTTAACAGCAGTACCCTCATGGTTTCCTACCCCATCTAACATTAGAAAAAAGTTTTTTTTTTCTCTGTGTGTATGTTTTTATTATATGATGTTGGTACCTTTCCTGCTAACTGGGTCCTGGCTCTTAAAGACTTGTCTTGTCTTTTAAAAGGAAAGGTTTTACATGTAACTAGCACACAGTTTTGGGTGTACAGGGAGGTAAAATGTAAAGTATTTATATGGCTAATGGCTGTTAGCCTCCTCTGTACATCTTTTTTTTTATCAGTAGTGACAGAATTTATTAAGAATAAGAAACTTTAATTACAAGAGAGGGGGAGGTAAACTTTCTTAACTCCCCCAATTTAGCAAAACAAAAGATACAAAATTAGAAATGAGCCCAAAAGAAAGATCCCCTATTCACCCCTTGCTTGGCTAACCCATCAACAAGTTAGCAGTTCTCTTTACCCAACTGTATTTCACCTCAATGTCCCTAGTCAACCACTTAAATTTTTTCTTTTCACTGCTGTAGTTCCAGATAGCAGAGTTATCTTCCTTTAGCCATCTCACCAGTCACCACCACCTCTGAGTCACCTTCAAAACCACTTTTCTTAGGTTCAACTCCCTTACTCTTTGGGCACCTTCCAGAGCCGCAAGGATCTCAGCCCTAAGAGAATCTCCTTCTCCAATAGGGCCTGAGAACATGGCTATAATAAGCCCTTCTTCATTCCTGAACACTCCCCCTATACCAGAGAGCCCTGGGTTCCTTAAACTACTGCCATCAAAATTCAGCTTCATGAATCCAGGGGGGAGAGGTCCAAGAGGGAGAAGAAAACCGTATTAATCTAGGCAGAATTAGCTATCTCTAACCAATTTCTCAGCAAGTCATCCAAGGAGAAAACTGTGAATAGGTTCAGAGATTTCAGCCAGTGAACCACCCTTAAGTGTATCAGCTCCATTACATTCTCAATGGTTCTTTCCTTTTCTGAGAAGATACGTGAGTTTCTTTCTTCCCAGATAGAGCCTCCTTTGTACATCTCTGTACTTATTAATGAAATTTTATTTACCTTAAAAAAATTGTACGAGACTGAGAAAAAAAAAGTCTTTATTTAAAAGCTTTTAAGAAGTTTTATGGTGTTTCTTTAGTTTTCTTATATAAATATGATATTAGAAGTTAGGAGTTTTAGACATCCTTATATCAAAAAAAAAGATAAATTTGTATAAGATCCATAATATGATTTTAGAGGAAAAGAGTTTAAAACAAAGACTTTGTCTTTGTCATTTCTTTTGTGTAGTGCTAACTCCACTCATAGGCCCACAAGCAGTTTGAAGCCCAACACAGCACTGGCACTGGCAAGCCCAGCTGCAGGGTGACCCACTTATATTTTCCCAAGGAACCCACATCACACCCGGCAGTTACATGAGGTCTCAGATGCATGAATTCTGTTAAAGCTCTCAGGTTCAGATCATATCTGGGATCATGGATTCACATTCACATAAATACCAACCTGAAGGAGAAATGGAACAACCCTGAAGTTCAACTCATCCTTCTCTTCTTCTCTTGTTCTTCTTTTCACCTGTTTTGAGGAGGCTGGTTCTCCACTTCTCCCTCAAAGAGAACCCTGAGTTAGGCAGTAACCTAACATTTTTGGTATCAAAGCACCAAATCAAGATGCCTACCACTTGAGCTTTGTTAGAATCGACAGTACAAGGGTATTTAAGTCTTTTGTCTATCTAATTAAGGTTAAGATCTATTTTGTC